ATATATATATATATATATACATTGCCCACTTAAAATAGCAGGTAATAGCCCTGGTTGGGAGCTCGACACCACGGCTCCACCCGGAAAACCGTCATGCCATTCAAACCCGAAGGCCACACGGAGATGGCAATAACCGGCACCAACAAGGGGCACCAAGTGGCAATCAACGGCTTCATTGCATGGCTCCTAATCATCACGGCGTTTGTGATATATTTCCTCTGGGCATTTCTCCCCGGGCCTGTGTTGGACTGGGCGCTCTTTAACTACTACCCCGACAAGTACTGGGCTGTGGCAATGCCGGCGATCCTCATCATGTCAGCGGTGTACTACCTCTCTACCTCTTTTCTGCTGATGTTGTACCGGACGAACCCGCTCACCGATGGTTTCTGCGTCGCCGACGCGAACGCAAAGGAGGATCGTCACAGCCTTGATAGTTTGTCCGAGGTCAAAGAAAGCGTCCCACAAATTAACGACATACCTGTTGGAGTGACCAGCCGACTCCTGTTCCAGCCGTGGTACTGATGTGCATGCCCCTTGTGTGTATCATGAAACAAACGTGTTTGTGTTTCTGTGCCGTTTTGTTGTTGTTGCTTTGAGGGGGAGGTGGTGGCAGGTGTATTTTGTTCAATACAGAGTCTGGAGTCGGAAAAGAAAGTGACTCTCGTTTTTTTTTGGGGGGTTTCTTAACCTCACTTGTTGGGCTCACTCAAGAAATTTCTCCCATTAATCCCCCCACCCCCACCCCCACCCCCAAATTAAAAGAAAGGCGATGCGTCGCTCTGCGCGTCGGTTGCAAGCGGGGGCTCTAGCAATGCTGATGGACACTGTCAGCACGCAGCGTGTAGAACTGGGGCCGGAGGATATTTACAGAATTTGTGCCCTCTTAAAGGCGAAGGAAGACACACTGATGCTGCAGACCAATCAGGCTTTCCTCCACGGTATCCGGGCACAGTATCAAAAAATGGACGTAGATGCTGTGACACCTTTCCAGCGGACGTTTATCGACGGGGCGTTTGCCGGCCTCTCTATTGGCGTGCTTGGTTCTCACTCAGAGACTGGGAAGGGGGAGAATGAGATGAAGAGTGGCACTCCTGCCGGAGTCAGTGAGCAGCGGAAAGCCAGCAGAAGTGTTGCCGATACCCTTGCGGTTGGCGCCGCTCGCACTGTGGCGACTGCCAAAGTGACCACAGCCGATGTGTCACTTGTGGAGCCGGCTGTCGAGGAACGTATCTCGGCTATCTGGGAGTCAGTGCAGGAGTGTCAAAGCAACAAATTTGTGAGCTCTGATGGGATGCGGCGTATCAAAAGCCACTGCAAGGCACTTGAGCGGCAGCTTCGACAAATGAAGCCGTTTGAAGTCGTATCCCTTGTGAAGGCGCTAGCCACAATTCATTACCAAGACTACACATTTACGAATCTTCTCACCCGACGCAGCTGCGAAGTTGCCTCAAAGTTCTCGTCCTCGGAGCTGTGCAGAACATACTTCAACTTGAGCAAGCTGCAGAGCCATGACTCCATGGTGGCCTTTGTGAACCAAATTGAGGCACAGATGGAGAAATTGCATCAGGAGCAGGTGCAATTTGTTGCGATGGCGCTTGAACGGCAACCACAAATAGCTTCAGCTCCGGCACGCATGGTGCCGAAGCTCTTAACACGGGCGGTGCACCACTTACCAGAGACGGAGGGGGCGGCGTACCACCGAACGCTGTTGGTCGTGGCAGCGCGTTATAATCTGCGTCGCCATCCTTCAGTGAACAAAATATTTCTTGACTCCGCCAGGCACATGGAGAATATCACTGAGCGAGACCTCCTCGCAATCCTGCAGGCTGCTGTGGATCTTGGCATTTCTGTCAATACACCCGGGTTGGCAGAGCTTTTGAAGAAGGCAGAATCCATTGTGGAGACGGTGGATATTCGAAACATTGACGCTTTCATGGACATACTCTCCGTGCTTCCCATCGACACTGGTGCCATCATGGCGAAAGTGATGCAGCGCCTCGCCGTAGATGCAGGCAAACTGTCGATACCGCAGGTGGTTTTTACTCTCGACCTTATCTCCAGTTATCCGCCTGCGAAGGGCGACCCGTGTATCGCGGCGTTGGTGTTTGCTGCTTCCCTTCGCGCTGATTCTTTTGATGGGGAGGGGTTAGAACAAGTGGTGCTAAACCTGGCGCAGCTGCAGCAATTCTCCGATGACTTCTACGTCCTGGTGTCAGTTCTGCAGAATAATAAAGGTGGTTTCCGAAGCTTCGACAGGTTGGCCAGCCTGATGAAGTGCTGCACACAAGAGGTTGTGACGGATGTGAGGGGACAGGACATGATCACAAAGGGGATTCTCGGGTTGGCACCCACCATGAACGATGAGGAACTTGCTGAATCCCGCAAGATGCTCTCGCGGATTGGCGTGAATGACAAGAACGTCCATCAGATGATCTTCCGTCGCGCTAAACAGCTCCAGCGAGAGTCTGGGGGTCGCTGGGCCAAGCGTGGCCATAACACCTCCGATGACTTTGTCTAGTTTTGTCTGGGTGTTCTGGATGGTGTCGTCACCGTTGTTGTTGTTGTTGGCTTTACATCTTGTGACACCGGTACGGACGGGCAGAAAAAGAGAGAGAGAGAGAGAGAGAGAGAGAGAGAGAGCGAAACGGAAAAGAGGCATGCCTTCGCTTCCTAAATGAAATGTTTCTCTGTGTGTTGTCTTCAGTGCAACTCCTCATCACCTCTATCGCCATCACAATAGATACAACAGAGAAAAGGGGGAAAAAAAGGAGGAGGGACGAATTTAGCACAGAGGCTCGTTTGTTGCACAGGCAGAAGAGTAAGGAATGCTCAATGTGCTTTCCAGTGCCGCTCCAGCCGCGCTCGCAATGGCTGTGGTGGCGAGGCCCGTCCCACTCGACCTCATCTTTCAGCGATGCAAGCTTAACCTCGTTGAGTTCACCGCGCAGGACATTTATCAAGTCTGCACGACGGCGTACAACATGGACACGATCGGCATGACACAAGATTCAGACTTCATGCGAGGAATTCACGATGCTTTCCGCCGCTCTGACCAGACGGTGCTCTCGCCTTTTCAAGCAAACCTCATCTCTGACACATTCCGCAAGGTTGGCATTATCAGTACCCCCAACGAGGTTGCCGTGCCGGAGGAGGACGCGATCTCACCGGAGTCGCTGATCCTAGTGCTTCGCACCATGAACATCACAAAGCAGCGCGACGAACGCAAAATGAACACAGTACTGAAATTAATGTTTCCTATTCTTGATGAATTTAGTCCGACACAGCTCTCCCTCACTGTTGCAGAGTTGTCGCGACTTAAGTGCACAAATACGGACTTCCTTGGCAAGCTGGCAAAACGCATTATTGAGTCAAATGATGACCTCAGTGCCCTTGACATATCGCTGACAGCAATGAGCCTTTCGTATTGCTCGGGAGTGTCGCACAACATACTGCGTCGTGTGCTTCAACTTGTGGAGGAGCGAATGGGCGAGTTTCAGCCAGAAGACTACGTCAATGTATTGTACGCTCTCAACGCGCTGGGCCCCAAATTTGTGAGTACCTTCCGGCGACTCGTGGAATGTGGTTTGGATCACGTGGAGAATATGGACGCTGTGTCACTAGCGAATTACCTTGTGTGCTTCACCACGATGGATTACAAACAACGCGAACATATTGAGATCTATGCGGATGCTATGGTGGAAGTGGCTCAGGACCTCTCTGAGAGAGAACTAGTACAGGCATTCATTGCGCTGCAGCGACTCGGATTACTTAGTGATGCTATGTTCGGTACAATGGCGTCGTGCACAATGCGATATGCGCCCAAGTTGGACCCGCGCAACATTGCGCCTGTGATGGACATTTGCAGCACCGTTCCGCACGCCTCAGATCCCCTAATGAAGTCTCTCATGGACCGTGCCGCGGAGTGTACCCGCGTCCTGACACCAAACCAGCTCGGCGATATCCTCGACATCATCGGTCTCTATCCCCCGGCGAGGGAGCACCCACTCGTGCAGTTGTTCGGTAAACAGGCGCGTCTTCGTCTCGACTTGATGGGACCCGATGCACTCGCTGGAACCACGCGTGGGCTGGCAAACCTTGGCTACGCTGATCCAGAGTTGTATGTGCAGGCCGCTGAGACCGGCTTCCGCTACGGTTTCAAGGACTGGTCGCTGCTGGAGCCGATCCTCATGGGGCTCAGCATAACATCACAGTGCCCACCGTACATGGTGCGGGTGCTCGCCTCGCACATGGCGCCGATGGCCCGCTCGATGAGCCTAGCAGAGATTGAGCGTGCGAACCACTACATGAAGCGACTTGGTTGTGAAGAGGACTTCGTGTTCAAGGCTATGGCCACGCGTGTGCTTCAGTTCGTCAAGGAGGTCACGCCTGATATGCCGGAAGACTTGCAAATCCTGTTGCAGCGGAGCGCAGTGGAGCCTCTTAGTGCGACACCAGGGGTGCTGTAGACGTGTTTTCGGACATCTCTGCTGCCTCTTACGACTTTTTCACATTCGATGTCTCTCTGTTGTGGTGGTGATTCAGGTTGTAGGTTAGGTCTGTCATGAGAGAGCACACGGTGGCTGCATTTGGAGAGCAATACACCTTCTTCTACATCGTGTCTCTTGTATCGATGTTGCCTTTTATTTTTTTTTTTGATTTCTTTATTTTTTTTTTCTCGTTGGGGTGTCTGCGTCCCCGTCAGTGAACGCGGTAGACAGAAAGATACAAGCACACACACACACACACACACACACACACACCATACATCAAAAAAAAAAATAAGAATAAAAAGACAAAGCAAGTCCGATAATTGTGCCTTCTATCAAATATCCCGGCAAATATGTACAACGGCTCGCTTTTCACTTTCTACAAGGACCCTTATTGCAAGATTCCCGTCTTTGTGATGGGCGGCAAAGCGGAGCGCTGTGTTCTGTGGGTTGGTGGGCAGTCTGAGTCTTTCCTCAACTTTGGCTACTTCCCGAAGCTCGCCGAGATGCTTACTGAGGAATGGGCTTTCGTACAAACGGAGGTGGCCAGCAGTCGCATCGGCTTCGGTGCGCAGGATCACGTTCACGACGCTGAAGACATGGATGATCTCATTTCTATTCTTGTCAAGGATTACGGCATTCATGAGATCGCATTGTTCGGAACGAGCACCGGGGTTCAGATCGTGTTCGAACTGCTTGACAATAGCCGCAACATCGAGTTCATCACCCGAGTCATTCTCTACGGCGTCGTGTGCGATCCCGAAAGCCCACTCTTCACGCCGGAGGGCAACGCCGCACGCGAAGAGCTTGTCTCGAGGCTCATTGCGGAGGGCCGTCAGGAGGACTCCCGTGCGCTGCTGGACCACTACGACATCCCCATCACCCCCGCCCGCCTCTCTGGCGCGGGCTTTCCAACGCTGCAGGAGGCAGTTTGGTCCCCGTGCCTCAGCGGCGATGTTGACACGCTGCGCCGTGCCCTGAATGTGGTGAAGGTTCCGATGCTCGTCATGCTGGCACACCACGCGCAATACAAGCCCACCGAGGAGGAAATCCAGCGGGTAATCCGCCTCGTGAAGGATCATGCGGGGTGCACACATGTAACAGTGTCGTACTTTAACGACACATGTGACGAACGGCGACGCGTGCTAAAGGCAGCAGAGGACGAACATGTGAATGCAATTATACGCTTTCTCATTGAAGAAGACGAGAAACGTGCTATACAAGAGGAACAGCGACAACGGAAGGCTGTAGAGGATGAAAAAAAGAGGAAATCTGTTCTGCAAGCCAGTGCCTTTGCAAATAATGTCGCCAGAGCCTCTACTGTGTAAGTAGGTGGTGATGGGCTATATAATGTTTTCTCGCTATGTAAATTAAACCGCATACATTTCAAACAGGAGTCACTCTTGTATGTTCGAATGCACATTCTGGGTGCGTGGTTCAGTACACGGTGCTGTGGGCCGTAAACGAGGCTTTGTTCATGGCCATCCACCGTTTTCTTTTATTCCACATACACACACATGCATGCGCGCCCTCTCTCTCTCTCGTTTGTTTGATTGCTTGTGTAATGACTGTATTTCTCTGTGTCACCTTCTGGGATGAAAAGCAAAACAAAGAACAAAGGCGTGACGGCTGAGGCTTAGCGCGGGGCAATGGCATACGCGGCGCAAAACGAAGTCGCAACTTCAACTTCGTTGCGTAGCAGCAGCCAGTGCAGAGAAAATACGACCCTGGCAGAAGCAGCAGTAGTGGCAATGCACCACCCTTTAGGCTCCTGGGAGCGTCACCTGATGGAAGAGAGGCTCCGTGCGGTCAAGCGGCACGAGCGGGAGCGCCTCATGCGGGAGGAATTGGAGAAAGAGTGCACCTTCCAACCACACGTGGGCACGTCACGCAGCAGTGCCTGCCAGGCGCAAGCCTCCCTTGTTCCCCGAGAGCAACAGCAGCAGTTTGTACCGGTATTTGAGCGTCTCGCACAGCACGCCAAGGAGCGCGAGGCCCGTCTAGCGGTTCTAGCGGAGAAGAAGAAGCAACGCGAAGAGGAGGCTTTACGACACGCCTTCCACCCACACGTAAATGCCGCCGCAGAGAACCGTGAACCGCTTCCCGTGTATGCTGCTAACATTCCTGTAGAGGAGAGACTTCTGCACTACGGCAGATCCGTCGAGCAGGGTCGCCGCCAGCTACAGGAGGAGCGGCAACGAAAAGAACTTGAAGAAATACGTCAGCAGACGGTACTGCGGTCTGCACGCAGAAGTGGTGCGTCAAAGGAGAACCCCCCTGAGGATGATATTGTGGATCGGTCGAAGCGGTTCCTTATAGAGCGCGAGTTAGGGCGCGCACAGGCTCAACAGGCACTAATGGAGGAGCACCCCTTCCGCCCAAAGGTGTGTACTACGTCCAACGCCATTGACCGCGGCCGCAAGGCGCAACACAACACGCGTGACCGCGGTGTAGCGCTCTACGAAGAGGGCATGCGCCGACAACAGCAACGACAGACGGAGATGGCACGACGGCACGGTGAGGAGAGGAAGGGCCTCCACAAGCCAGCCACCAACCCACTCACCGATGACTGGATCCATCACGGACAGCATAGTGCACTCTTTCGGCAGAATTTCGTGCGGCGGCAGGAGGTCTACCAGCGCGTGCGGGAGGAGCACCAGCGCAAACTTGCCTCCGCACTTGAGCAGAGCGAGCAGGTGGCAGTGCCGCGGGTTGACCAAGCGATGATAGAGCGACAGGTGGAGCGACTCTATCTTGGCGCGCAGGAGATTCGCAAAGAAGCAAAAAAGCGAATGGAAGATCATATCAGGGCGCGCGAGTGTCCTTTTCGACCGGAGCTGGCGCCGGGAACTGAGTACGTGATTGCGCACGCCAACCGTGAGCAGGATGTGGTAAAGCGTCTCGCATCTACCCCTCGTAGCCGCCGCGCTCTTCATCACTCTCTCTACGAGGAGGAGTTCGAGGAAAACGGAGACAAGGAAGAAGAAAATAGACTTCGGAATGTGAAGGTGGTGCACCCCGAGGAGGCGAAAGAGTTCTACCAGCGACAGAAGCGTGCGTTGGAGGAGCGCGAGGTGCAGCTGCGGGAGAAGAAGCAGCGGCAGGCAATGGAGGAGCTCTGCGCCTGCACCTTCCGCCCGCGCACGAGCACTGACGAGTACCTGCAGCGGCGCCAGAAGGAGGCGTCCTCCGCAGGGCAGCAGCAGCAGCAGCAGCATGTGGAGGTGCGTGTGTCAGGAGTTTCGGCATACCTGCAGCGGCAAGCCGAAGCGAAACGGCGGTTGAAAGAGCAAGAGGAAAGGTACCAAAAGTTGGGGCAGGGACTGCCGTGTAACGGTCCTAGTGGTACAGTCATTACGCCATTTAATCTGTCCAGTGGGCGTGGGTCGCGTCCTTCCTCGTTGGGTCCCAGGTTCTCCGCGCCTAATACGGGTGGCGTAGCGCAGCGTGACTGCGGCGGCCACGTGGATCCTTACAGCAGCAACGGTATTCTCTGCTCGCGCCGGGGTCAGAAGGAGGAGCCCCCTGCCAAGTGCCGTGTGCGGTGAGTAGACATCCTCATGGATAGTTTTTTCTTGCCTACTACTTAAAATGTGCCTCTCTTGTGGTGTCTTTCTTTTTTTTGTTCTTTTTTGTTTCAACTGATTTGCTTTCTTCATTCATGTCGACTTGTTCTTCACCTATTCCTTCGTTTTTGTTTGTCCTACTGAACTATTCAGCTCGAAGAATCCAAAAACCCGCGACAGGGGTGGGGAGGGAATTGAAGGGGCGGTTGTACGTCGCCACCACCACGCGCAGGAGCTTGTATCACATTTAGGGATAATGGCGACACTATCGCAGGCTCGCGTTGCCGGGTGGGCGTCGCGTTGGCTGACGGATGAGCTCGTAGCACTTTCCAAGGCGGGTAACTGGGAGGGCGCTATGGCCACATTAACGCAGCTTCAGCAAGCGAACATAGTGCAAAGCAACGTCTTTCATTACACTACGGTGATTGGTGCGTGTGGTCGTGCCGGTAAGTGGGAAGCGGCGATGTCCGTCTTTACACACATGACGAAGAATGACGTGAAACCAAACGTCTACACATACACTGCACTCATAAACGCATGTGCCACAGCACAGAAGCCGGATGTGGCGCTCCGCATGTACGCCCACATGAGAATCGCCGAGGTCCCACCGAACGTGCGGACAATGACGGCCTTGGTGACAGCGTGCGCGCGTGTTGGGCAATGGGAACGTGCTGTAAAAATTCTTCGGGAGTGCGAGGAGCTTTGTATTGCACCAAACGTATTCACATACACCGCTGCCATGGACGGATGCCGCCGCGCAGGAGCATGGCAGCCTGCAGTTGAGTTGCTCAAGGAGATGCGGAACCCCGCTAATGTCCGCCCCAATGAGATCACGTATAACACAGTCCTTGGCGCCTGCGTGGAGGCCGCAGCGTGTGAAGCAGCACAGAAGGTGTACGCGGCAATGGTGAGCGATGGGTACGTGCCGGTCACGTACACCAAAACGCTCCTGACAGAGCTCTTTAAGGGCACTGCATATGACGGACTGGCAGATGACTTGCAGGTGCGCAAGAACACGTGGCGCGAGGCCAACGCCCCAGACTCCGACCCCGTCACAGCTTTGGAGGCGACCCGCGAGGCGAGTTTGGCAGAGGAGGAGACGGAGCAGCACCAACAGCTGGAGAAGCAGGTGGAAGTCACTGAGGTGGGGATAGGAGGTGACACACAAAAAGACACCTTTGATGCAAAAGAGAAGTAGCGGCTGTGAAATGCAGATGGATGCGCTTTCGTTTTAGTTTCCTCGCCCTTGAGAACATTTATCAGAAATAGACTCATTTGTTTTCTCCCGCTAGCGTTTTTTTTTTTTTGCTTTCTTTTTTCTTTTTTTTCCCTCTTGTTGTTGCTGAAAGAAAGGGGGTGGAGTGCGACCATGGAGGGCGGTTTAAGCGAAATGGTAAGGGAGAACGCACGCATTTCCCGTGAGATGCGTGGCGTGGCTCTGCTCAGCGTCCCGCAGACGGCAGACCCCGGCTGGCGTATGCGACGCCATGCGCTGCTCCGCGCAGAGTGCCCGCACATCGCACCACCACCTGCAGCTGTCGCCGATGTGACAACCGAAGGAGAGAGCGGGAAAAACGCTTTGATGCTCCTCCCGTCGACCAAGACGCAAGGTGATGTGCAGCCAGTAACAGCACAGAAACGTCCGCGGACGCATGACTCTATAATTTCTGTCGATCCCAAGGTGCTGAAGAGTCGCCTGACAGCGGTCTCAACGGCGGTGGCGAGTGGAGGTGCACGAGACGAGCCATACGTGCCGCCTCCATCGTGGAAGATGTCGAAGGTATTGGTAGGGCACCGCGGATGGGTGTGGAGCGCAGCGGTGGACCCGACCAACTCTTGGTTTGCGACGGGCGGAGGTGATGGTGTTGTGAAGGTGTGGGACCTGACAACAGGAGCGCTGAAGCTGAATTTGACTGGGCACAAGGAGGGTGTGCGTGCCATCTCGCTGAGTACGTTGTCACCATACATGTTCAGCTGCAGTGATGATCACTCAGTCAAATGCTGGGACCTTGAGCGCAATGAGATCATACGGGACTTCCATGGGCACAAGGGGTCTGTGCATTGCGTGAGCGCCCATCCATCACTGGACATCGTAGTGAGTGGTGGACGTGACAAGACGGTTCGGGTGTGGGATGTACGCACACGCTCCTGTGTGCATCTTCTTGTTGGTCATACCGACAGTGTTATGTCTATTGCGGCGCAACAGGCCGACCCGCAGGTTATTTCGGGCGGCAGCGATGGCATGGTATACCTCTGGGACATTGCGGCCGGTCGCGCCTTCACGCGCCTGACACGCCACAAGAAACCCGTCCGCGGCCTCGCTATCAACCGGGAAGGTACATTGGTCTCGTGTGGGGCAGACCATATCCGCGTTTGGTCCCTCCCCAAGGGGGAGTTTCTATTTAATGCCCCCACAACAACAGCGACAGCGAACTCTTCGGCTGACGGGGGTGCAGAGCCTGAGGAGCCGTCGTGCTACCGCTGGAGTTGTTGTGCCTTCAGCCCACGTAACGTGCTAGCGGTGGGCAGTCAGGAGGGACGACTGGCGTTCTACGACTGGAGTCACGCGCGGCGTCCACCGTTCCAGTTGACGAAGACGAGGTCTATTCCCGGCACACTGCCGGGTGAAGGTGGTATCAACTGCGTCGTGTTCGACGCCTCAGGGTCTCGCATGATCACCGCGGAGAGTGACAAGAGTGTGAAGGTATGGAGAACCAAGGAGTAAAATGCGATGATGAGAAGAAGAAAGAAAAGAAACCGAAACAAACAGAGAGAGCGAGAGAGAGAGAAGTTTGTGTGTGTGTGTGGAGTGGCGCTGATTGCTGATGCTGCTTTAACTTCTGCATTGCTTTGGTTTCCTTTACGACATTTTTTTCTCGTCGTGAAGGAACTATAGCTACGCAAAGACAGAAGAGAAGAAAGCAAAAAAAAAACACATAGCAATATTGTCCTCCCTGCACAACACGGCCACGGCGGGCCCGCCGGATGCGTTAAACATTCTTGTTGTTGGCGACACAGGCGTTGGGAAGACGTTGCTCCTACGGCGCCTGCGTTACATGGCGGTGCCGGACAAGGACATATTTGCCTCCACATGGGGACCGACAACTGGGTTCTGTGTGGAGGTAATTCCCATCAGTACTCAGCGACAGGTTCCGTCGCATTTACCGAGACCTCGCGATACATCGTGTGTGGCATTTATTGAAGTGGGTGGTAATCGCAACTTTGGACATAGTGGTCAATTCCCCATTAGTCTCATGTCCTTTGACGGTGTCATTTTCGTATACGACCGGCAAAATGCAAACAGTGCAGTCGGACTTAGTGACTGGTACGCAGACTTGAAGAAATATGGCATCGTGGGGAATGGTGGTGGCGCGAAGGTGATGCTTCTCGAGACAACGCTTGCCCCGACGACGAACAGTACGCTGAGTGTCGCAAATCGGCTGCCAGATGAGCTACTCGGTGCATACCTCCAGAAAACCGTAAGTAAACCATCACGCTGGAAGCGGTTGCTTCAAAAACTGAAGTCTGTGGGTGCGCGATGGGCGAGCAAGCCGAGACTCTCTGTGACTGACTTCCAGGAACGGCAGCGCAGCCTTCGGCTGCGTATTGCTGTCTTTCTCTTCCATTGTGCGTCAAGGGTTGAAGGTGCGCTGCTCTTCATCATGGCGGTCGTCTTGTTCGGTCCATCTCAGGAGTCCGTTTCACTGCGCCGGCCGTCAGTGGAAGAGGCCCTCGCCCTGATCGGAGGGGATGTCAGAGGCACACAAACACTGGAGGCGTGCCCTTTGTACGACCAACTGCAGTTTGAAGCCTTGGCTGTGAAGGATGTGACGTCGTTTATCGATTCGCTGAGAGATGATTGAGGTCGCTTCGTGACAGCATACCGGGAGTGCGTGCGAGCACGTTGTTTACGTCGACCCAAAGGAGCTGCTGTACGACAATATTTATCTCCTCGCTTCTTTTTATGCATATGTGGTTGTGTTTCTGGCTTAAATTACATTGCCAATTGGGTTGTCCTTTGTGTTGTTTGTATTATTTTTTTTTTCTTTTGTCTTTCTCTCGAATTCTCTCTCTGTCTCTGTCTTTCACTCTCGATGTGTGTATGTGTTCGCTTGCATTTTCCCTTGTCTTTTGGGGGGTTAGATCGGTGAATTGACGAGGGCTTCGTGATGGTAGCCAAGTCGTCCCTTGGCGACACCAATAGGGTTGTGGCCTCCCGATTGGCGCTAAGTCCATACCGCGTCGTGTCATCTCTGCCGTCGCTGTCCTCTGTCATGGCGTACATGCAGCACAGTATTCCGCTTGCCCTTGTGGCACTCAGTCCGTCCGCGCGCCTTGAGGTAGAGCTTACCGGCTACAGTGTCGGAAAGCTGCATGTCACCCACCGTCGCTGCGGCTTCGACGGTAAGCGAGACCACCAAAAAGGCGGACTAGTATTAATGGCGAGTACGATTCAAAGCCTTGAACTGATAGTGCGGGGTCTTTGGTGGATGGCTCGTTACCCAAATGTTTCACTCGTCCTCGATCACATGGGCAAAGAGCACTTTCCTCTTTTGGAACGCCTCAAGAAGACGCTGAACTTGAGAGAGGTGCAGTTAATAAAGTNGTCCTCGATCACATGGGCAAAGAGCACTTTCCTCTTTTGGAACGCCTCAAGAAGACGCTGAACTTGAGAGAGGTGCAGTTAATAAAGTCTGTGGTGGCATGTGACCTTTTGCACGTAATGTCTACATGCCGCGAGCTTGGAGCGCTTACTGTGCGTCATTGCTTTAGCGAGTCTGAAATCAGTTTGCGGAATGTGACACCGATTCTTAGCAGTCGCGCGTCAGAGAAGCGTGAGGTTTCTACTTTTTACATTTCTGGTATTACCAATTTGGGAGTTCTGAAGAATCTTCGGAGCCTCACCTTGTCTGCCACACCACTGAGTGATGAAATGTTGGAGTACTTCTCCGAATGCACAAACTTGGAGCGTCTCGTGATTGACTCGTGTCAGGGTCTCACGTCACTTGAGTGCTTCGCCGCGCTTCAGCGGTTGGGAGAGCTGTGTCTGTTAAACTCGTCTATAACGGATGAGGGTCTTGCTTCTATGGGCTGCTCAAAGTCACTGCAGCATCTGCAGCTTGACAACTGCATGAAACTTCGAAGCCTCAATTGTTTGGGATCGCTGCGCCAACTTCGAACGCTCAACGTCTCACGGAGTCGAATCTCTGATGATGGCATCCGGGGTTTGAGGCATTGTCTAGATCTGGAAGAGTTGCGGCTCGTAACATTTAATCGTCTGTCAACAGTAGAGTCCATTTCGAGTCTTCGTAACCTGCTTGAGCTCGATCTTACAGAAAACTGGATAACAGATGATGGTTGTGCGTCACTCGCGTACTGCAGGCAGATCCAGCGCCTCTGGCTTGCCTCATGTCGATGTGTGTCGGAGGTGCAGTGGATCCGTGCGCTGACATCCCTGCAAACCTTGGATCTGTCAAGGACGCATGTGCGTAGCTCGTCCCTTCAGGTTTTAGCGGCGTGTCGACGCCTCGAGGAGCTCAGCGTCGCCTTTTGTAGCGGTGTCGTCGATACTTCTTTTGTGGTAGGGCTAACGTCTCTAAAGCGTCTGGATCTCGATTCTACTGGAATAAATGACGCTGGGATGCAACCACTCCGGCAATGTGTGACTCTTACATTCCTTTCGCTACAGGATTGCCGCCTCATCACGGACATGCATTTTGTCGAACCACTGAAGAATCTACTTAGTCTTAATCTTGAAGGCACTGAAGTGGTAGACGCAAATATTGTCCCTGTGGCCCACTGTACGAAATTGGAATTTCTCTCACTTCGTCACTGCCACTTTTTGACTGATGTGCGCTGCCTGCGTGAGTTGAAGGCACTGAAGGCACTAGATCTGTCAGGTACGTATGTGACAGATGAAGGTTTGTCTGGTATATCACAGTGTGTCTCTTTGGAACGCATTGACCTTTGCGCCTGCTGCTTCGTTACGCACCTTGATTTCATTCGGTCTCTGAACGCGTTGCGGCATGTCCAAGCAGACCACACAAATGTGACGGACGTGACTGGTTTGGAAGGAAGCCAATTGTTGGAAGAGGTTTCCCTCGTTGAGTGCAAGCGGCTGGTATCGTTAGGCCAGTTGGAAATGCCTCGACTTTTAGACTTGTCACTAAAAAAGAGTGCCATCACTGATGACGGTATTCGAGACGTGTTGGCGCGGTTTTATTCCTTACGGCGTCTTGATCTGCAGCACTGTCCTTCCATCACAGATCTGGGCGTCATCTCACAACTTCCCTCACTTACGGAACTCCTTGTGCGGAACAGTAGAATAACAGATGAATCCGTTGCATCTATTGCGCGCTGTGTGACTTTGGAGAGGCTCCAAATGGTAGAGTGTCCTGATATTACAAATGTCAATAGTCTCCAGTCTTTACATCGCCTAATGGATCTTGATCTTTCCATGACGAGTGTCACGTCGAAAGGCATTATGGGTCTTGCGCTGTGTCACAGCTTAATGAAATTAAACCTTAGTGATTGCCGCTGTGTAACGAGTGTGAATTGCTTTGGAAACCTTGGTGTGCTGCGAGAACTCCACTTGGCACGAACAAGTGTCTCTGACGATGGTATCATTGGATTGTGTAAATGCGTCCAGCTAGAAACGCTGACACTGACTAGGTGCAGTCAAATTACAGATGTTGAAAAACTTCAGAGCTGCCTTCTTCGGCTTGTGGCGTTTGATGTGTACGGTACGTCGGTGGAGAATTCTCGTCGGTGCCTTGGAGGAGGTCATCGCACTCAACATGCATGTGCTGTTCTTTGAGTTATCAATGGAATAAGCGTTGTGATAACGTTGTTATCATGTGCTTATATTCTCTGTTAGAGCTCCTATAGCACACTGAAGAAGAGAAAGATAAAGAAACGGTGAAAAATACGTTCTTTCTGGATCATCTTGCACAGGGTACAAGGCATGACATCCACGTGAACCAAATGCTGTGTCTCTACACGGAATCCTCACCTCTTTCACACTGTGAGGGTGTGGATGTGGAGGAGGAGAAGGAGGAGGGTTCATGGGTATATTATATATATATATATATATCCATGCTGGTGTAGAAGAAGAGAAGAAACTAACAACTGATCCAGCAAACTCCTTTCTTTTACCTGAAGCTGCATACTACTTACATATTCATCGCCTTGATCACTCCTCGCCACCTGCCAAGCTATAGATATGACAATCGTTGTGCAGCTGGTCATTGCATCGACGGGGTTTCGAGTTTCTTTGGTGGTGAAGCAAGCCAAATCGCCGTCTCTGCTCGCAAGTTCGTCGTTAGCTTCCTCTTCACAAGGAAACGTTGTTACCACAACGAAAATTTTTGTGTCGGACGTCGTGTTGGGCGTCCAAAGCCGTGGGTCATCTCCACAAGGTGTGAGTGGCACTGAAGGAAGTAAACAGTCTTACGTTGAGGTGTTTGACTACGCGACCCTGAGGCCTCTTCTCGCCAATGAAGCAGTAACGGATGGACAAAAATTACTACTCTTCACGCCACCTGTTTTGTCAGACACCCTAATGGAACATTTGGCGTCTCTCGGTCCTCCGACACATGATACTCCATGCATGAGCACAACGGAGGAAGAACGCTGGCAGAACCTGCGACAGGCGATTTTAGCGCTACGCACACCTCTCAAGCTCCACCAGGATGTCATGGAGCGAGAATTGGAAGTGTGCAACAAACAGTTTGAAACTACAAAGGCGGAGTTTGCAATGGCAGAGAAAGGTATTTACGAGGCGATGGAGAACATAAAGAATGTAAAGATTTTCTATAGTCTGGAGACGCCTGCAACTGAGTTTGTAGATGCAAAGTACATGGAAGCCGTGATTCAGCAAGGTGGAGTGAAGCTGCAAGAGGCAGAGGAGTGTCTCACGAACGCGCGGAATATGGCTCCAGGGATCATTGAGGCAATCAGGAGTGAGGCCCAAGTCGCCGAGGGCCTTGAAGGGACTTCGGCGTGGAAAACATTTTCTGCGTCTACCACTGAGGGGTCTAATGAGACTGCTGTTTCTGTGTTGATGAAAGAAGTGGAACGCAAGGTTCAGGTGGTGCGTCTGTTAGTAAGCAAGATAACACTGGCAACAAAACGACTGCAAAAGTGTCGTCACTACTGCCAAGCCGTTGTTTATCATGTGGTACAACAACACAAGAAATTATGCCGTCTTCCAGAAGGTTTGGAAGCCGCTCAGGGTGTTGTGAAGCGCCGCATCATACTGCGGCGCGCCATTCGTCGTCTATTGGTTCCTTTGGAGGCGTTGCATTCTGAGACGGAGGAAATAATCCACCAATTTGCAGAGAAGTGGAGCCAATGGCTGCCGGATGGACTATTCAGGGCGGTGTCATCGCCGCTGCCACCACTATATCCCCTGGACGACGCCCTCGCGCAGGGGGAGGACCATTTGTTCGTTGACATCGAGGATGATGAAACCGAAGGACTTCTTGCCACCATTGGATCAGTGTCCTCCGCGGAAGTAGCGAACATACGTGCCATGGAGAGGGAAATGGAAAAGAACATGGAACTGGTGAAGGCATTGCAGGAGGAGAATGCGAAACTTAAGGATGCTTTGAGGCAACAGCAGGCGGCACTCTAGCCATTGCATGCGGAGGAATAAGTTACCGTGTGGCAAGAAGAGGGGGAAAAAAAGAGGGGTGAGTGGACACAAGTAAAGAGGGTGCCTGCAGCTGGGCTCACAACACCGATTGAGTACAAGAATGTCTTGCTCGATTACGTGGTTTGGCTTTCCCTTGTGTACTGCTTTTTTTTTGTTTGAAGTGTTTGTTAGGGTTTGATCTTGCTATGGTCAGTCTTTCTTTTGTGTTTCGAGTGGGTAGAGAAATGGGCGAGTTTTTTTTTTTAAAAAAACGATGCGGTAGGCATCCCACCGCTTCACTACTGTCTGTCGCTGAATGTCTAGCGGCTTCTTGGATGCTTTAACGAGTGGAGGATGAGGGACGAACCGTGTGGGGGTGGGAAGTTGGCGCGTGAGAGAGAAAGTGAGTGTGTCCGTTTGTGTGTGTCTTTGTAAATAGGGAGTGACTTGAGAAGGTTGGGCTTAGGTGGAGCGTGGAGTTTGTTGTTATTTTGTGCTTGTTTGATAGTGTTGAGGGGAGTGGCAACTGCAGTTCCATCACTCTCTCAAGACCTTTTTTTGTTGTTGTTGTTGCTTTGGAGTCATACCATGGTAGCTTTGACTCGCATTTTTCTTACCTCTTTCCTTTGTGCCATTGCCAATTTTTCGTGGGATTGGGAATTGGTCTTGTTTTCCCTGAGCTTCTTCAGTAGTACGGGTGGATCATGATTATTATTACAAAGTAAGAGCGTCAGTGCGCAGGGGAAGAGAGTCGAGGGAGATGCCCACTCCCACGCTATCTCGGTATCGACGCGTATGTGTGTCGACATCGTTCTTCGCATCTCCATCATACATGTGATTCTCATTTTCCCCCAGACTATCCCACTAGCCCTTCTTCCGGTCATGGGACTTTTCGCATCTTTCATGCGCCTCCTCACATACCCCAGCTGCGTGCCGGGCAAAGTGAAGCGCGGTGGGGTGAAGCAAGATGCGCGTGGTGTTGACGCGAGGGGTGGGGGAGTCAACCAGCAGCTGCTGGACGTGTGCTCATGTGTGGCGCGGCGGCTCAGAGATGAGGGTGCACGACGCCCTGGCTTCCCACATGCGTAAAGATGGAAAGGGTAGAGAAAATGAACGATTTAGCCACATTTGACTTCAACAGGGGAATGAGCTGAACACGCGCCAGTTCTGGTGGGTGCAACTTCTTAGTTTGCTCTCTTTTTTTTTTCTTTTGTTCTCTTCAGGCCACTCTTCACAAAAAGAATGCTTGAAACAGAAAACAAAAGGAAAGAATTGAAAACTAAATAAGCACGATGTGGTTTACAATGTCTCCTTTACAAGAAAAAAAAACTGTTTTGGAAGCAGAAGCTCTGCCATATCACCCATTGTCCCTCTGTTGAAACGAATTAGGAAGGAAGAAGAATCCCACGCAATGGTACATCTTATTGCTATCAATATCTGTCTCGTTTCGCCCGCCTTTGATGCAGCTGCAATTCCTCTCTCGTGGTCCTTGTGTCCCACAGAGAGCCACAGCACGCTGCAGTGGAACAAAGAGAAATCATACCGGCTGATGGCGCTTGAGGAGAAGGCGCTCAGCCGAGGTTACGGTCATCCCCACTGCACGGTTGCCCAACTTTGCATCCGCCTAACCGACATGGATGAGGTGCGAGAGAAGGTACGGCAGATTTGGCTTGAGGAAAGAGAGGCGAGTGACAATAAGGCCACACTATGCTTGTCCGGGTTGGAGGAGGGGCCGGCCTTCGACACTACCGTCGGTGGAACGGCGATTCACCTTCCCAACATCAAGATTATTCTTTCCGAGCCGCTTCGTAAATTGCATGAGAAAATTATTCACGCTATCTGTCAGTACCACGTGCCTATGGAAACGCTGGAAATGGCAAAAGCCGCCTTTCACCCATCCTTTCCTCCGGATAGCGCCGTTGCTGTGGAGTGGGTGAATGACTACTTGACAAAGTACGCCCTGGACTCGTACAATCCTCACATCACTCTCGGAGCAACCCCGGCAAAGGCAACGGCTAGCACGGCATTCAAAACTACGTTGGTGTCGTGGAGGGAGTGTCGACTCGTCGTCAGTCGAATGGGCAACTACTGTTCCTGTTTTGAAATCCAAGAATAGTGAAAAGTTGAGGAAAAGGAAAGGAAATCATAAATAATGTGTCACAGGGCGGGGGGAAAAAAGGGAAAAGGTGCCATACTATTCCATAAGCAATTTAATTTGTTTTTGTTTTTTTCCTCGTGCAGTTTTACAACCTGTTGTCGCTTCCCGAAGGAGTAAGGAGGAAATGCATTTGCGCATATCTGCCGTGCCAGGGCAGATTATGTGGGACTCGGTGGCGGAGCAGCCCACCCATATCCACCAAAACCCCCCTGATCATGGAGATCTTTCAACCCACGGGCGTGGGCGACACCAGCAGCACGGTGTCCCAGAGGAGCGGTCTCTGGTGAGGCCCTTCTGCTTGATCCCTGGAAGGCCAGGTTGTGTTCTATCCTGACTATGGCGCGGTTCCAGGGAGAACTATAGCGTATGGCATTGGATTTCCCAGTCCGAGAAATCGGGTACTCGACCGTAAAACTTATTGATTGGAAGCGTGTATTTTCCCTGCAGTCTCTCCGTTCAGGTACTTTACCCATTACAAAACGCGCTTTATTTACAAGGTACTTAACTGCGCCAACCCAATAAGTAGCGACCGTATCACGGTGCAGCCCGAACTAAGCCGGATTCGGTGCTGCAATTGTGGAAATTGAGTTTTGCTAGCAATGAGCTTGGTACTGGACCTTGGCGCCACGATGAGGCATTTCCACGATACCAAGGATTTAATGTGATAGAAATAAGTTTCTTTGTATACCCTCTTTTACCGTAACTAGTAG